CCCGCGCCGGAGAGGCTCCGCCCGCCGCTCTCCTAAAAATAACTCGGCCCGTTGGGGCCGGGACGAGCCGCAGCCGTCCAGAGCGCAGCCCGCGAGGCGCGCCGAGCCCGGGTCTGCGCGAGACCGAGTAGGAGCCCGGGGCGGTCCGCGCTGCCCGCTCCCCGGCCGAGGGCCCAGTCCTGCCGGACCCCGCTCCGGCTGCTTGGCTTTGGGCGGCGGGAGGCCGGCGACGGTGCGCAGCGGTCCCGGTCCCCCCCGCAGCGGGAGATGGCGTCCTACGTGGATAACAGCTTCCGCCAAGCGGTGATGAAGAACCCCGCCGACAGGACCCCCCAGGTGAGTCGCCGACCGCAGCCAGCCCCTGGCGGGGTTTGCACCTCGAAAGCTGCGCCCTTTCACGTCCCCCGCACCGCTGTCCTGGAGAAGCATCCCATGCCTCCATCCAACATCCCTCCACCCTCCCCCGACTTCCAAGGCCATTCTTTCCAGGCTGTCCTGCGTTTACTGCCCTCTCTCTAGCTGTCCTTTGCGCTCCGCACTCTGTGGCTGACCTTGCCCTTGGGTTTGCCCGGCGAGGTGCAGTGTCTCTAGGGGTTGTTTCTCCGCAGCCGCACTCTCCCCGGGGCTCTGAGATTATGGGTAAGATCTCACCTTCCCTCGGCCAGGTACTGTTACCTACCTGACTGCAGGCTCCGTGGCTCCCAAGCGTCCTACCTTTAAAGTTCAGTGGCGTTTGATGAGATAGATTTAAGCAGGAAACTTGCATGGTTGTGGGAAGGACAAATCCGCGTGGACCTTCTATAGAGAAACACCGAGGTGTTGAGGTTACTTTTATTTACTACTTTACCTTCTTGAAAGAGGGGTGCTGCTTTCTACTGAAGGGGGAAAACTTGACAGCCAGGCAAGCACTTTTAATTGTAGACATAACTGCAGAGCAGGTATGTTCAACCCCCTTCTTCCTCGGAACCCTGCGGATTCTTTTAGTTTGCACAATCTTGTCAAAATTAGATCACTTTGTTAACCTTTATACATTTGTTTATCTCCAGGTTTCTTTTTTTACTTTAAGTGGAAGGATTGCTGATGGGTTGAGTTTGTTTTTCTTAGATTGGATTAGCAAGGGGGAAATTTTATAGAAATGCCATGGTTTGATTTCCTTTGCTTACCGGATAATGACGAATCTTCCTAAATGTTGGGATGGTGCGTACAGGGAATTTTGCTTGCCAACCCTCTAGGCAAATAAGCTCTCCAGATCTAATACTTGAAAAAGTTGCTTTGCTCGTTAGGTGTTGGATGCCATCTGCCCAGATCCAAATGCTGCCCTTCTCTGATGTTGATGATGATTTAGTGTGGGGGAGAACAGAGTAAAATCAAATCTTTCACTGTCTGCCTTTGGACAAGCCCCAAGAATGGCACCTGGTACCCATTTTCATTTTTCATTTTCCTCACATCTGGGGAATTGTGGGTAGGTCACACATAAACCTGTGGAAGATGGGCTGTAATTACAAGAAAATTCATTTCACTTCTCCAGAGGTATCCTAAAGGGCAGTTTTTACCAGGAACTGGGCCTATCCTACTTTGAACTTGTCCCTTCCCTGGTATTGCCCTCATTATCTAGTATTAAAACCGCATCCCCCCTGTTCTGCACCTAAGAAGGTACACTACCAGTCTCAGTGTGTAGGAAAAGGAAATTTCATGCGCTATCTCAATTCCTTTCAAGAATAGTGTTTGAGATGCCAAATGAGATCACACATGCCAACAACATTAGAATCTATCTAGGCTGTTCAGAAAATGATGTCAGAGGCCTGTAGTAGGAATTAGAGAGGGATCTGGTTGATGGTGCCCTAGGTTGATTAGTTAGAAAAATAATAATGACTGAAACCTACTATCAGGAGGCGTGTGTGTGTGTGTGTTTGTTGGATCACCAAACTAGTCTGGAAGAGACAAAACCTCTACTGTGACAGCCTGTGGATTGCGCCAAGTAAATGGACTGTTAAGCTTTCCTGTTCCCATGCCAGTTGTGTGGAATAGAGTAGAAACTGGCCCAATGCAGGACTCGGCCCCACCGAGAAGAAAGTGGGCCAGTTACTACGAACCCCACAAGATGAAAGCTCCATTGAGAATCTGAAAGCCTCATACTTCTTTCCCCCACCTGACCCCAGGAGAAGCAAACAGAGGAACCTGCCAAACATTTTGAACATTCTTAAGCAGTCCTGTTAACTTTGATGTTCATTTGGTTTATACTGGTGCAAACCTCTGCATTTGTTTATTGTTTTAAAGAGAAAGTAGTTGAAAATATGAATGTTTTTTCCATCCTTGCCTAACTTGACAGAAATAATTCATCTAAAAGTTTGAGATTTACTGGAGTAAAAAAATTAAAGATGTTGTGAAATTTTTCCATCTGTACCATATTCTCATGAATGCTTGAGAATTAGGCCTTTT